GGGGGGGGAGAAAGATTGTGTGACGAGCCCAAAGAACGTCTGCGTAGGAGGCTAGTGGTGGATAGGATAGTACGTTTGGTTAACACTTCGCTGGATAGTGATTTATCCGTTGGATAGCGTTATCCGCTCTTTGAACAACTGGGCCCAGCTGGAAAAATAATTTTTTAAAGGAAATTATTGTGGACTCCAGCCAAGAGATGATTTTTACAAAGAGAAAATTTATTCCACGTTCACACTCAAACGAGTAAATTAAACGCATCCGATTACGTTAAAGATGATGATGAAAAAAATGATGGTTCAACTAAAAGGAAAATTACAATTATAATTTCAATAGATCTAATGAAATTGACAAACGGATTGAAAACGGAAAAAGGACAAACGACTTGCAAGTATTTCCTCATGTTGACGTGAATGGGCAGAGTGAAATAACTGATGATTTAGAATGAAACTGACTTGTCGTAACAAAGCCAACACTGGTATATTATACATTGAAAAACGAGAACTTAGAAGTGTAATCAAACGAGCCACATGATGATCAAGGGTTTAATTTTAAATCAAGTGTAACGCTCCTTAGTGCCTTTCTGCCTTTAAAAGCACACACAACCCACAATTCCTCTATTCGCTCCGACGAAGGGCTAACGCTCGAAACGTCAGCTTTTGTAATCGTTACGGTGGCCAATTTACCATTTCAACTTTGTTGATATATCCAAATTATTTCGTTACTCCCTCCGACGCAGCCCCAAACAGTTTCTTTAGAAACTATCAGCCTTTACAATTATTCAGTTATTAACCCTTAAACTCCTAGGAGTGACTGTTATCTACTTTTTCCCCACTCTACCACCCTTGAATGAAACATCACAGTCACGAGAATAGAGGAAATGATCGCTGGCTAACTAAAGAAGCTCTTGATTGTTAACTCAATTCTCCTTGTCAGCACCTCAAGAAATGTATGGTGAACAGTATGGAGAATATGCATACTGATGTGAGGGTGTCAAGGGTTAAAGAAGTCTAGATAAAAAAAAGTAATGCTGGCGATGGTTTTTTTCGGTGAAAGAGGCCGAGATGTAATAAATATACGCATTTCTCCATTAAGGATACATATATATACGCCTATAGCCCGAACACGGGTATGTCCACAGTTTAACTGCACCTATGATGACGACACTGGTTGGCGCATGGGCAGCGTCCCTTGGCGAGGTACTCTGTTGATCGACGACACAGCAAAGCTGAGATGATCGCAGAGGAGCTCGTTGCATAACACCCACCCATCCCACCCCAGGGGAGGACACCCATCACGCAGTAATCTCGTCCGTGGGAAATGAAGGTCTCCTACCCTTAACCCTGCAGGAGACGGGGACTACGGGTTATTCGTCCTTATCCGAGAAGACTAGAATATCTATCCATTTCTTGATATTATAGAAAGATAGAAATTTCTCCTCAGTTATTTTAAGACCCTGAGTATTGGTCAGGCCGGGGCTCAAACCCTCGACCTCCGCACAAACGCTCTAACCAATCGAGCTAACCGGGAGGTTAGGACGAGAGCGTTCAATTGTCCCAAATGGTCGCGACTAGTCTGCCTGGATTTAATTCCAGGATTTCTTCTGTGTGTATGAATTTCTCTACCCTAGGTCTTGCCAATGTCTATCAGTAGACGTTAGTTCTAAATCTTGAGAGATCCAAAACAAAGATAGTAAAAAAACCCTTAATGCATCCGTCCAAGGACAGTGAAGTACATTAAATGCATTTGTTTCTATATTGTATTGGTGTTCACAGGCAAACGAACGCGAGTGTGCTGCTAAAGAAAAGATCCGTTCCCTGACTGACCGTGTCACCCAGGCTGGAGAAAATTTGCGAGATTTGGAGCTGAGAGATGAAGACGCGAGCGAGCGTGAGCAGTTTAACGAGGAGAAAGTGAGCTTCCTGAAGGAACAACTGAAAGAAATGTTGGCCGCAGCTGAGGACCACGAAAGGAAAATTCCACCACTAGAGCGAGTCATCGATCAGATGACAACAGAAATACGCGATTGGTGCGGGAAATGCGAGGGAGTAAGAAAAGAGATGTCAGATATGGAGATGCTGGTTGGAGGAGACTTAAGCGACGATGAGGATGACGACAACGCGGGGAGGAAAGCAGCCGTGCCAACGAAGAAAGAGAGACGTGAGTGTCAGGAGCACCATGATGAGGAACCGGAAGAGGATGACGATGAAAGAGCTAGACGCGAAGAGAGAAAGCGGTACGATGACGACGACGAGGACGAGGAGGAGGAAGACGAAGAAGACGACTGATATGAACACTAGTACTTAATTTGAAAACTGGAAGTTGTAGGAAATCTTAGCTGTGAGAAACGTATTTGATTTGTCGACTTTGTCAATGCTTTGTAATCCAGAGAGCAAAAGGTCTCGTTATTACCTAAGGCGAGTAGCTATCCATATTAAATTTTCCCTAACCTATCGTGTGGCGCACATTTTGTGTTCATATTATTTTAATATTATAGCTAGACACGCCAGCCACTCCAGAATTTTTTCCGTTTGAGGGGAACAGCTATCTTAAAACGTATTCCCTGGGAAAGAATAAAAGTTTCTATTAAACTCAAATGCAAAGATGGCTAAAATTGCTATTTGTACCCCATGTCACAAGCAACAATTGGTAATCAATCATTTCACAGTTGTAGAAAGATTAGAGTCTATTTAATCACTTTCACCAGAGTATGGTGAGGGTCGCACAACAGAGCGAGGCTCCAAATTAAGTGCGCCCAATATCCAACCCATCCCACCCCAGGGGAGGACATCCATCACACAGTAATCTCGTGTGTGGGAAATTAACGTCTCCTACCCCAACCATGCAGGAGACGGGACCTCCATTTATTCGTCCCTATCCGAGAAGACTAGAATATCTAACCATTTCTTGATGTTATAGAAAGGCAGTAAATTCTTCTCAATTATTTTAAGACCCTGAGTGTTGGTCCGGCCGGGGCTCGAACTCTCGACCTCCCGCACAACAGTCCAGCGCTCTATCCATTGAGCTAACCGGGAGGCGGTTAGCTCAATGGATAGAGTCCCTCGAAATATTTCCTAAACCAGTCTTATCTTGGAAAGGGGAAATTAATTACTTTTATTATCTTGGGCATTTAGATTTTAATTATTATTTTACAGGCTGTCACCGTCACTTAAAAAAACTTGACAAAATTAGTGACGCTAAAGGGCATTTTGTTTTTTCAATTTCCCGCAATTATTATGTAAAGTTCTTTTCTACATCTGACTTAAAAATTTTCCTCTTCCAACGCGGAAATGAGTCTTACGTGATGAAATATCTGCAGTATATTTGCCATGAACACGAAAAACAGCCGTACCTGTTTGATCGTTTAACTTGAACTCTTAGTACGGGTCAATTTGATTAGATCCTATCCAATATTTTTTATCCAAATTCCTGCGAAGTCAATACTACAGTGCCTTAATTCTCGTATTGTTAAGTAGTTTTGCTTCAGAATAACGTGACCTCCACTTTAGCCCGTCAGTTGAATGACCCAATAACTGAATAAAGCGTCAACAACATTGCGTGATATGTGAACTAGACAAACATCACGAGATCTCGATTTTTTCAAAATTCAATCATTTCCATCTTGAATTGTAATACATTGCAAACACTCTATCTTAATTGATAGCGAGATTATTGCGTTGAATCGTAGGACTGACGCTTATCATTTCAGGCAAAGACACTAATCGTTTGAATCACAACTGGTTGGCAAGACTGATCCAATCATCGAAAAATTTTGTCTTGACCTTTTGTCGATAAGAGCCCTCTAGCCAGTCCGAAACTGCACCCGCCATTGACAGAATTTTGTGTGAAAGTGTGGGAAAAATCTCGAAAAAAAGTCTTAAATTTACAAGTCTGGTCGGTCTGTCTACGACTCGCCAATCAGTTTCCAGGCAAACTGATTTTTCTAAAGTGGCCGCTCATCGGTCAAGCGCGGCGATGAAATGATTTCGTAACCGAGAGTATGCAAAGTCATTAGATGCATGTAAGTTCATGCATTACTAGGCAATGAAATCATCAAAGAATACTACGAGAAACTCGCGTCATTTCCCATCCTTTTAAAGTCACGCCTTTTTCCGCTACGATAGAAAACTTGCTCTTACGGAGTTCCACAATTCGGAATAAGAATTTGTTGTTCTATGGTAAACTGAGCTAATCTGTTAATATCTCTAACTAAATGCAAAACAACAGTCCTTGTAATGACATGTTTTGGCTACGATTGTTCGTATTATTTTAAAGTCTTTCGCAACACAAAGGAAGTCATTGAAAATCAAACGAAAATATAAAGCCACAAGCAATGAACCAAATCGCGTCTTTTTGTGTTAAATAGGCCTGAACAATGATTTAAAAAATGTTATATATCTCTGATGCGTCCGCCCCGAGGTACCCTTTCAGTTAATGAGAATTTTTTTATTGATGCAGCAGACGTCAAATCTGATAAAGTACCAAATTCTGTTAACCTGCATCACAAGAATAATAAGGAAGCCTAATTTGAGAATTTACTCGAGATCAGTAGAATTATTTCTGTGTGATATTAGACCGGACAGCGCCAATAGGTTTCTTGAAAAAATCAACATATTTACATAAAAATGAGTAGTACTTGACTGCTCATGTTAGTTCACAATATCCACTTCTGCTGTCTTCGAATATTTAACATTCTTGTTAAAACTCGAAAGCTTTTAAATACTCCTCGACGGCGTGAGCAAAAGTTAATCTCCATTGGATTGATTTTTCTAGAAGTCGTTCTGTTTTGTTCGTATCGATTTGAAAATATCCCATTCGAAATGTCTATCAATAATGCGAAAACCAAAATTCGTGACCGTATGCTAGATATTAAAAACAGGATCGACACTGCCGAGGATAGAGAACGCAACGCTACGGACCTGCTTAAAGTAGCCGATGAAAAAGCTCTTCAGCTCGATTCAGAACTCAACTCAAAAAAGAAGAAAATCGAATTTACTAAAAATCTTTTGGCGGAGAGAAAAAAGGAGGAAAAGAAAAAGCTAAAAAAGCTGGAAGACCTAGAGGATAAAGACAAGGTAGAAAGCGAATTGGTGAAGACCCTTGAAAATATTGAACTCGATGGTGACGAAAGGTTGAACAGCTTGGAAAAGCAGTTACACAAGATTAGCGACATCGCTGACAAAAAGGAGAAGGAGAACAGAGAATCAAACCTACGACGTGACCATTTAGAAAGTGAGCTTAAAAAGGTAAGAGTTTATCACAACGCGTTAATAATCGGTCTGAGCTAGTTTAGCGATACGAAACCATTTCGGCTGCCTGCTGAAAAGAAACAAAGACGCGACCAGCAGTAAGTACTAAGCTTTTATTTGTGTAATCCAAGAATCCATATGCTTAGTTCGACATAGAATTACCAAAACCAGCCATTCTCGTAGACAAAAGAGGCAATGCTGGCACCCAAGAGAATGCCATTCATCTGATATTTAACTAATTCACAAAGAAATGACGCGCTCTTCTAAGGTTACATGCAAATTATTCCACAAAACCCTCCCACAGGGTCATGTCGGCAAGATTTTTTTTCACACATCATTTCGTCGCTCCGAAGGAACTAATTTTTTGGATCGATTGAGCCGAGAAAAACAACTAAGTAAGGGCTTTTTACTCAATTTCTCGACTCTTCTTATCGTTTTTCTTTAGACGCTACTATATTTACGACTTAGAAATGAATTTCGTTGCATTCCCACGGTCACAACCTCGTTTATTCTCTGCAGAAAGTGAAACTATATTCGGCATGACCGTAATAACTAAATTTAGCAAGCAATACTTTTATGCCTTCGCAACTTTATCACTTTGTAGCAGCTCAATCCGATCTGAACTCAAGAAACTCACCGTTACGGGTGCCCATTTTTTACAAATAAGACAGTTACTGCTGGCTGCAAAACGAATATAAAATTTAGGAAGAAATCCACGTGGTATTGCAACTTTGAACTCAACCGGAAACATTTAACATATAACAACTCGCCGCATATTTCTCGGCTCCATGGACGGCAAAAAATTCAAACCTTACTGATCCAAAGAAAGACGTCAGTTTTGGGTTTGCTGCACGATACATTTGCGTATGCAATGAACAAAATGGGATACAATTAGACGGTTCCAAATGGTTAGTTCTTACAGGCGAACTAACAATGAGCAGGAACCATTACTTAGTAATAACTCCTGCCTAGAGTAATAAGGGAGAAAAACTATAAAAAAATTAACGCATCTTTAAAATTAGCATTCATTAAAGCTCGCGTGTTCTGTAACGATCTATCAACCTTACTCAAAAGTTTGCAGGGCATTCATGATCTAATGAATGAGGCACCGTCGTTTCTTGCCAAACACATTGTTTACGTAACTTGACATAACTGCACGTAGCAATAACGTAATCTGGCATTAAACAGACGTGACAATCAAGACGTTTTGGGAAAATAATAACCGACTCAAGAATCTCTTCTCGTGGCTTCCCCTCCTTTGCCCAAAGCAATCAACGAAAGATAAAGACGGCACTGATACTCAAGATGTAAGAGGCTCGGCTACTAAGCAGGATTCAAAATGGCGGCGTTCAGGGTAGCATTTCTAATTTCTATCACATTTAAAGACAAGTTTTCAAATGCTAGGTTATTCCTTGGAATCTCAAAATAAACGTTTTTGTCTTAATTTCGTATATAACTTTTTTGAAAAGTAAAGAGTGACATTACGTGGTCAATGGAGCACGGCACTCCTTTTACAAAAGTGTCTGAGGCAGTAACATTGAAGAGCAAATTAACGTGAAACCCAACTTTAAGAACTCAAATCTCTTCTTTTTGCACCAGGTTGACTCGAGACTGCGATAACCCTACTAAGCCTTTATCTTTATCGAGTTTGAAAAAGAGACTAGTTACGTCGTACAGGTCCACATAAAGAAAAAATATATATTTCTCAGCAAAATAACAGGGAGCGTGCATGATCTTGTAAATTTCCCTTAGCACAAGCTTGTTTAAGATAACTTAGTTTTATCAACTGAGTAGATAATGTTTCCAAAGGTGACCTTCCGAGCGTTCGCCCTTCCTGAGTGAGAACTGTAATACCCCGACCGACGTAGTATCATTTTCTCTTGAAACTTAACCCTCCTTTATAAGCTCAAGTACTCAGTTCAGTTTAGTAAATGACTAATTCTCTCATTTTGATGGTAAGGGGATGAGTGCTTTTTCAAAGGAGAAACACGCATCCTGAGATAGTGGGGTGGGACTAGTTCGAAGTGAAAAGTTTACTTGAAATTCCAGTTCATTTCGACCGTTTATATTATAGACCATGGCCAGGCAGATTTTCTCTTCCGTGGCAAGTCTGCGTCTGTTTGAAAAACAAATCGAACACTCCAAGCAGTATTATCACTACATTGCAACACCTTGAATATCAATATATTAATAATGATATCTTGTTAGTATTGCTTTCATCAATTCGTATCCAGGTGTTTAAGAACAGGTCTCTTTCATCCGCTATCAATATCGCTTGTCGTACTCTTTGGCCAACATCCGCTTTCCTTGACCTTTGCAGGTAGTCACGAGAGAAGGCGATGCCGTGAAGAAATGTGGAAAACTGCAAGAGTACATTCAAATGGCCAGGTCCGAAATGGACGGTCTTAAAGAGAAGGAAGAGTGTGCTAACGAAAGAGAAGACGAAAGCGAAAAAAAGCTGACCTTCCTTGCACAAGAATTGCACACCAAGGCGTCAGAAGCGGAAGAAAAGGAGCGACAGGTCAATAATTTGACTCTCTACAGAGACAGGATTAAAGCCGAGATCGAGGAGGAGATGAAAAAGATCCAAGATAAACGAGCAGAGATAGACAGCCTTGATTACTTATCAGACGAAATCTAATGATTTTTCCTAACAAGTTCGAACAGCAAGGTTACATGTATACTGCAATCAGATTTTCTCTCAGAGAATCTTTAAGTTAATGCACTGTAGACGCTTAAGTTGCCGGTCAATATAAGAATTACGCATACAGCGCAATCTCGCTTCCCAGGCAGTGACGCTTTCTAAAAAAAAAAAAAAACCAAGATTGTATCGGAATATTGTGAAAAGGTCCGGGACATTAACTTTACTTTAGGACATGGCTCTCATTTTTAAGGCCGCTCTCCTGAAATTAAACATAGAAGTGGGCCGAGACGCCAAAAAATGTTACGGAAAACTGTTCAAAATGACAGAATTATGATAGAAACTGTATTCGCGTAGAAATACTTTTTGGTAAAATCGAAGAAATAAAGTATGAATCAATTCACAAAGACTATGCCAAATAATTGAAGACAAGTGCCGCCACTGTGCTCAGTAATGCGCTAAATTTTACTCCGTTTATAGTTCAGGTGCGAAACATTATCACTTTCCTCGTTCAATCCAACCTGGAAAGCTGAAAATTTTAATTGCACTTGTCTAGGGGTCTAGCTCTTCCCAAAAGCATACCGCTTGTCAAATTCAAAATCGCTTTATCAGCGAGACCACCACTGTCCTGTGCATCCTGACCGGTCACGTCACATGACTGGTCGTAAATGTCGGCGCAACCTCTTCGCTTACAACTTTACATGAACTTTTGCCAACGCCGATTTCCGAAGGCGCTGGTGTCTACGCATTAGTTTTCTTTGATAACGCACTCCACGATGAAATCGTATAGTTCTGCCATACCAGCTGAACCTGGCACTATACACGGGAAGAATTTCCTTTCAACTACTGTCCTATGTGCTACAGAAGTAACCGTTTGAGACTTTCTTCGGCGCCATAATCGCAGTACTGAAACATATAGATAGGGCGTGTTTTGCCGTGGGTCTAGCGCGCGCAGTCATTAACGGTTAGTTTAAAGCGCTATTTATAACAGTTGAACTGGAACTATTTCAACGTTTCTGTGGGAAGTTTCTATTCAAAATATTTCTCATGGTTTCACATCTTAAAACTCGTAAATCTAAGCTCTCTCCCATTACATAGCCATCGAATTTTTCTCAACAGTATCACCTCTGAATCAAACATCCAACTCACAAGAATAAAGTAAAAGGTGCGAACTCAGGACGCTCTTGATTGTTAGACCATTTCTCCTTGTAAGGACCCTCGGAAATGTATAGACAACTGTAAGAAGTTGCGCACTGTTGTTAGGGCGTAAAAGGTTATAGGGCAACTGCGACCTGCTTAAGTCGTAATTTTTTTAGCTTTGATCTTCACCAACAGAGAAACACGGTGGTCTCTAGCTTCATGGCTCGCTGTATTCCAACCTCTCACTTGAACCACGGTTTTTGGACCATCATTGGACTTCAAGTTTCTTTGTAGATGGATTGTTTGCGATAAAATTACTAATTTCCACGGTAAACTGCAAGGTCAGTTTGACTTCACACATACACGAAAAAAAAAAAAAATCAACATTGAGGTAAACCGTAACATTAAATTTAAGACGGCTTGAAATGCGCGTTTCCTAAACAACAACAAAACTTTAAATTACCAGTCCCAAAACAATTTCTTTGTTTTGATGTTATGCTTGTTGAGACCAATCAAACGGACACTTAAGTAATGCTTTTGCCTTGACCGTAAATAAATACACATTTGTCAATTTCAAATATCCTTTTATAAAAAAACTAAGTCTTCGTCTCTCTCCTTAGATAATATAACAAACCCTCATAAATCGTACTTAATCATCTTGTAATCCCGAGTAACATTAAAACTAGATCCCCCTCGAGACTGATTCTCACTAAATTGAACCTGTCTAAAATAACAATAACCATCACAGGCCAACTAGAGCACTTGACTGTACGGCGTGGAAAAACAGTCGCAGAATCAAGCCCTGCTCGGGAGATTGTTAAATCAATAAGCAGCAACCTAACTTACTTAAAAAAAAAAAAAAATTGCCTCAACAATAAGTTTTCTCCGTGGTCGAACGGGTCAAACTGAATTTTTGTCAAACAGCTGTTCATCCAATAGTTAACGACATTGTCTCTTTATCAAATTCAAAATGTCACTGATCACGATATCCAACAAATAACATACTTTTGCGCCGCTTTAGCCTACAGTGCACGCGTCTTATTGGAGCGAGTTAAGGTTAGACGCTCGTGAGCGTTTATCCGAACGCCATGTTTGATTTAAAGTCAGAGTGGACGGCGGTGACATGGGGTGGGGCAAGTTTACACTCCCCACCCCAGCCCCTCTCCTTATTTTTGACTGTCAGCCACCCGCTCGGTACAAATTACTTTCTCCCCCCAGCCTTCCGCTTCCATTGAAATAAAAAATGGCGGGCATTCTTCGCACTGTGCACTCGCTCGCCAAAATTACGCGTGCTCTGGAGGCTAGCACCGCTTTAAAACTATCTTTTTAGAGTCATAATCGAAAGTTAACACATTAGCAGATGCCATGGGGTCTTTCCTTGAGCCATTATTCGTTCCATATAACCACAAATCTCCAATTCCAGTTTGGTCCAAAGTACGGTGATGTAAATGGACTTGGAATTTTGCAACAGAAATAGCCAAAAAATATTCCTTTATCACCCTTTGTGCCTGCGCTACATTTATCATATCGAACACTCCCATCAACACGAGCGCTAATACGAACGCTGCAATATTGAAAAATTAGTTCAAAGTGTTATCACTTTTTTTTCTTTCATAACAAATTCAAATTGTATAAATGGTGCCGAAAAAAAAACGAGACTGAATTCTGAAGATAACAAGGCTGGAAACCAAAGTTGTCGAACTCGAGTCACGTCTTTTAAATAACAATTATCTCAATATAAAGTAATTTTCAACTCTGTTAAACGCTACTAAATTTGGAGTATAAGGTGGGAAACCGCAATTCAACGATGGAACGATGAAAAATCTTTAACGGACTGAAAACGGGGTAATGCAGGTTTTGGCTCGAGATTCATCAACAATCCATACCACAAAATAATTTTTACACTATGACCAACCACTGACGTCTTTTCGCCATTTCACTGACCCCGTACCATTTCACCAGTGGGGGAGCGTGGGAGCATATCCCCAAATCACATTGAACTGGGACAAGCAGCTGTCATCTTTTAACCATTGCTTTGACCCCGTACCGTTTCATCACGAGGGGAACTGAAGGTAAGTCTCATAAGGCATACACCCTTTACCAAAATCCGTATCCCTGTTCCCAATAATCGTCACGCTGTTCTCGCCGACCCCGCCCTCCCATTCCTCCCCTTCCTCCCCCACCGCCCCTTCGTCCTCTTTCTCGTCTCTCACCCCCTCCCTTGGGACATTCTCGAGCAAAATGGCCACTCCCGCCACAGTTGTAACAACCGCCACCGCCTGTGAAAGAGAGAAAGAAAATTCGAGTTATTCCTTGACAATAAGGTTGACATACAATGCAGTCCCACAATGATGTTGAAAGCAGGTAAAAATGACCGTTTTTTTATTTTTTGTGACACAAAACACCTCTCTGTTTGGTTTTGGAATCCCTCCTTATCTCGATCATGTCACATTCACCCACACGATTGCGTCAACTTGAAAAGTGTCTGCTATCTTTGCAGAATTTGGCTCTTCCTTCCTCGCTAGAGAGACAAATTCTGCGTATGAGGCAGATCCCAATAAAAGATCCCGATAAAAACCCTTCTGTTCTTTCATCGGCTATAACCACAGGTGGACAGCTCTGGCAATAAGGAGTTTTTCCAACCTCCTGTGGGAGAGTAAATAAGTGCGTACCTCGTCCTCCACCTCTTCTCTCCCCCTTGTCGTCGTTGTAACCACTGCGTTCACGGAATTCTTCATAGCGTTGCGCCATGTCTGCTAATTCATCGGGAACTTCCTATGACCATAGTAAGATTAGTCAAAAGGTGAAAATTAAACAAGTTAAAAATTACTAAATTTTAAATGCCTAAAGAAGCTGTTCCCGTGGTACATTTGGAAGGAGTCTTGTTGAAGGTTATTTTATGATTTTATAACAGTTGTTGTGTTTGTTGCAGTTATCTTGTTAAGTTTTTATTTGCTCCTTCCAAAATCTGCTGCAAAACATAGCGTAACTGCATTTATAACAAAGGATTTTGTTTCAAAGTTCACAAGGCAACCAGGAGGACAATCAGACATGGTTTGACGCTACTCTGGTTTAAGGATTTCATGAATGTAACAGGGGAATTACAATTCATCGACCCAACGTTTCGACACTCCCGTCTAGTGCGTTGATCAGGGGTGATCTAATCGTTGCAACAAGAGTTCCTTTTATATGCTCACTAATCAGTGATCCTTAGGTTTGGAAAAAAATTATTCCACGGTTAAATCCTTACACCAGAGTAGCATCAAACCATGTTGGATTTTGTTTCATGCGCACATTGACATAATGGGATTGAAATTTGTGTGAAAAATTGACTTTGATTACCTGATTGGCTTCCACCATAATATTGATGAGTTTATGAGCCATTCTCCAATCCTCTCGTGTCACAAAGGTAAGCGAAGTACCCTTTTTACTACAAGAAGAAAAAAAATTCACGGTCTGAATGAAGATTTGTTTAAGTTTTCAACAGAATGATTAAGACAGGTCATAGGAAGTTCCCGATGAATTACCAGACATGGCGCAACGCTATGAAGAATTCCGTGAACGTAGTGGTTACAACGACGACAAGGGGGAGAGAAGAGGTGGAGGACGAGGTACGCACTTATTTACTCTCCCACAGGAGGTTGGAAAAACTCCTTGTTGCCAGAGCTGTCCACCTGTGGTTAGAGCCGATGAAAGAACAGAAGGGTTTTTATTGGGATCTGCCTCATACGCAGAATTTGTCTCTCTAGCGAGGAAGGAAGAGCCAAATGATTAAGACAGGCTACCCATATGGATCAGATCTGGGTTGTATTTCATCTCCTCAGTTCTTACACATCTCAAAAATGCGTTCACAAGATTTGAATTCTAACGGAACATCATAACATCCTCCAAGTTCATCATCTTTGTTACCTGCGCGTATTTTCAAAATCACTCTTTGAATTAAGGAATATATTCTTTGAAAATTTCGATTTATTGTAACACTTTACGAAACAAACCTCAGATAATTTCACGATACTCCTATTTCTTAAACAAAGTTAAAGAATAAATGATAGTCAATCCACGCTTCGCGTTTCCACGACTGAAAAGATATTTGTTGGCATGACTGTGCAAGATACACCTTCACTAACCCTGCCCTTCCTGTGCGACCAATACGATGGACGTAGTCCTCAATGTTTCTTGGGAAGTCATAATTTAACACACACCTGTTAGAAAAAAAAAATTGCACAACCGTAAAGATAAATTCTCACCATTTTTCCCACGATGAATGAATGAAACAAACAAATAATAAAACCAAAATATAAACGCCAAAATTCTTATAAACAGCTACAACAAAATATGTTCATATTCAGCCAGTAGTGTCTAATTTGAGAAGACAAAATTATGACGGAAGAACGAAAAATATAGTTATCAAGAGTGGCACTTTAAGTGTAGAGACTAGTGGATGAAAATTAGAAAGCAGTGCCACAAAAACAATTGCCACAAAAAGCCCCAGGCGTTTCGGGCTTTGCCCATCATCATGGATCAAGCGGTTTCGGTTAAAAGTCTCATGCAGACTTACGGACGTATGGATTTCGCTAACAAGAGTTCAAGCCGCACAAACTTTATTAAAGCAAACCTTCAAAATTACCAGAACAATGCCAAAGCATTGAGAAAACAAGATATTTGCCTGCTTTCCCCTTTAAGTCCCAAATCTTTTATTTCCCATATTCTTCGCATTTTTCCCCTTCCACCCCTCCGCGCAATACTCTTAAGCGTCGAACTGAAAATAACTTACGTCACACCACGAATGTCCAATCCCCTGGAAGCTACGTCTGTTGCAATAAGGATTTTTGCCACACCTGTCTTGAAATCATCCAATGCTTGCTCGCGATCGATTTGTTCTCTGTAAAATTATCGCAATTGAACAAGTGAGTACTTTGATAGTGGTCTAACTACAGAACATTATACACAGGCTGGTACATTGGAGGCTAACCAAAAACAAAACAGGCATAGGAAAGAAGCTTTTCACACAAAGCAAACTAATTTCTCTGAACTGCAAGAAAGATCAACGGATAAAATTTAGCGGCCATAGTTCTACGCCAAAGTTGAGATCTACATGTAAAGAGCAGTTCAGATAGGATCGTAAAATGGCTCATCATATGGAATGCATTACCAGAAAACATAAGAGTACAAAAGGAACTACCGTATTTAGTTAAAAAACTAGAATCTTTCTTTTATCTAAGACTTAGCAAAGTTTTCAATCAAGACGACATCCGTTTCTTTAAATTAGTTTGTGTAAAATGTCATCGTTTCAATGCTCTTAATTCTTGTACATGTTAACCAACTGTGTGTGTGTGTGTGTTTTTTTTAGCGTGGGGGCTTGTTAGTGGGTTGGGTTTCAATTTTGTCTGCTTTTAGGGGATAGGGTAAGGTTATTTACCTAGTAAGGGACAACCTTGTCCTATTGTAAATTTACCTGCCTTTGACAAATTTTCAAATAAATAAATAATAAATAAATAAATAAATTCTCACCGCCAAAAGTCAACAACACATGTAGCACAAGTAAAGAGAAGTGATATTTTAAGCTGACAGCCGCTGTCTAACCTGTCGCCATGTATGCACTGAACTCCTTGAATTCCAGACAACATGAAGTCACTCGCAATGTCATCGGCTCTGCAACAACAACAGATATAACCAATACAGGTAAGATTCCCTATGAAGTGAGAAACCTCAACAAAATTTATTAAAAGTACAACACAAATGTCACTTTAGAATTTTAACCTGATCACAAAACATCACTTGGTGCCATCGGGACTTACAAAGATTTCTATAACATGAAATTGTGAAAATGTAAAAAAAAAAAGAAGCCAAAACGTGTAATACGACAAGTATTTGTTATCGAGTGCTGGCCCTTTGCCATCTAATCCGACGAAAGGCTAACACTCGAAAAGACAGCTTTAAAGGTATTTAAGGCAGCAAATTTACATTATCAACTCAGTTGATAACACCAAATTATCTTGCAATTATCCCCAACGACGCAGGACCGCAGTTTCTTTAATGGGAAACTTAATCCCCTGTAAGTATTTGTTGCCTATCAGTTTAATTAGACACTTCTTGAGCTACGTCATACTTTATTTTCTTTCCCACGAAAACCAACACTTTGTCATTTTCAGTCATTTGCGATATAAAGTGAAGCGTCTAGGAAGAAATGAAGAAACAAAATTACATTTAAAAGTCTATCGACGTTGCGTTCATGTTTAGCATGTTTATAAGGAAGAGAAAAGATTAACACCATCGTTTTCGACTTTAAAAGCTTGTCCAAGATCATGGATATTAAGATGACCAAGGACAGATAAGGATTTTAGTGATAACGATGACGACTGAATCTTTCATCAATTTTGATAAGAATAGTGCTTCGCTGCGAGCTCCGCTATGATGAATAGGCTCAGCTATTGACCGTCAACATGCTCAAACATCTCAATAAATAATAGCATAAATTAATAGTTCGCCTTGTACGAAGTTCACATAATTTATTTTGATGAAACGGTTCTTTTTATTTTGTTTTGTTCAGATTATTTTTTTCCCAGAAAACAAGAGAGATTAAAAATGTTACAAACCCTTTCTTTCTTTTCGGCAGGATCCAAAACCTCAACTAGCTGTGTGACATTGTGACAAGCCTAAAAACACAAATGGCGTCGATTAAATTTCTAAAAATTTTCTGCTTCCGTTCCATTCTTTTCCACTCAAACTCTGAAGGACGCAGTGACGACGAAAACTTACAAAGTTAGAGCAGGGAATAAAATCATTTTTCCACTCCTCTCAAACCTTACTTGAAGAGGGAGTGATTATTTTGAACATTCTTCTAAGCTACTTTTCACATTCCCTCGTTAACGATTTTCTTAGAAATGCGAGGATTTCCAAGCCTTAACACCCTAACATCAGTATGCATATTCTCTTTACTATTCTCTATACAATAGCCCATTTCCGAATTACCCTTGGCCTCTTTTTCAAAACGAGGCCTGGTGCTCAACCATTCTTGTGAAAATGAGTTTAATTCGCATGTGAATGGAAACTTACTATTATATGAAAGGATGAGCACCAGGACTCGTTTTGAAAATGAGCCCAAGGGTAATTCGGAAATGGCTATTCCTAAGGCGCCGACAAGGAGAAGTTGTGTAACAATCAAGAGCTTGTTTAGTTGGTGATCATTTCCTTTATTCTTCTGACCTTAATGTGTGATTCGGGAGTGATATTGTCAGGAGATAATAGATGCAAGTCACTCTTGAGGGTTAAGGGCTGATAAATTCTAAAGAAACCGTCTGGGGCTGCGTCGGTGGGGGTAACGAAATAATTTGAATATATCAACAAAGTTGAAATGGTAAATTGGCCACCGTTACGATTAAAAAAGCTGACGTTTCGAGCGTTAGCCCTTCGTCGGAGCGAAGGGTTAACGCTCGAAGGGCTTCCGACGAAGGGCTAACGCTCGAAACGTCAGCTTTTATAATCGTAACGGTGGCCAATTTACCATTTCAACTTTGTTGATATATTCAAATTATACTCTTAAGGGTTACATGAGCATCGCAAATGAGCCGCTGAAAAATTAATCGAAGCTATGGACCTTAATTGTACACAAATAATGATAAAATGAAAAGGCCTTCTCGAGTATGCCGTGCTTACATTCAAATCCAGTGATCCTACAAACACTCTCACTGGATCGTTCATGTACTGGTCAGCCATTCTCTGGACACTTTTAGGCCACGTTGCACTATAACAGAACCCACCAACATTAAAATCCCCTTACATGAACATTAAAATACATGCAGACAGGGAAAGAAACTACGAGAAAAACATGTCCTCAATTGAACTCCGCGATAAAAATTACAGAAAAGAGGAAATTGTGTTATTTAAAAGTATAAACAAACAAATCAATAAATAAATGAATAGACAGAAAATACCTAATGTAGTTGCACCAGAACTAAATGACAATAAAACCGCAAAAATTATGACACACATGAAATCGCAAAACATTGTTAATACTGCCACAGAGTTCAAGTCTGTTATAACAGTGATTTGAACTTGGGCCTGTTGAAGTCATATCTACAGCATAAGTACAAAAACATTTCGATTGGAATTGCCTTCAAGTCTACTTCACAATGCTAACAATTCACTTTCTGCATTTTGTGTAGTGCATTTATGTACAGTATACAAAGGCACATTCATTGATCGCTTGTACCTAAATCACGCCATATAAATGATATCTCACTTTGTAAATGTAGATATTTCCCTTTGTTTTACACAAATGAATCATAATTACAAAATTGAAAATGAACAATTAAACAAACAGATGGGTATATGCACATGTACCTTGTCATTATCGTCTGCCTGTCCGGTCTGATATCAAGTAATATTTTCCTGATCTCTGGTTCAAATCCCATATCAAGCATACGGTCCGCCTCGTCAAGCACCTTCAACACCATAAAGAAATATTAGTAATGACTATTATATATACACTGTACAGTCAAGAGTGAGAACGGGAACTGTGAAGAGCGCCGTCTACCAAAGCAGATCAGAACTTTTAACAGTCTACTGAACGATCCTGAGTGTGCAACTCTCGTAACGTTTAAGCGCCATGGGAAATGTTTTCAAGTATTGACAGTTTTTAGTCCTTTTTCTAAGTTTTATTCACAATAGCTTTTTACACGTGTATGTCAGACTTTTAATCCAACCGTTTCACAATTTTTGGGGCAAAGACCTCTGTAACAGCAGTTGACAAAACCAAATGAACCTGTTAGGACAGTAATTCTCACCCCTCCCCTGTTAAGACAGCCCTCCTCACCCCTCCCCTGTTAGATCCTGGTGTCACATGCGGGCTGACTTTGTTGTTAGTCCTGCCTCTGTAATTTTATGCTGATGGGGTTACCTTAGCACTGGTAAAATAACACCATTATATATTTTATTAACAAAAAAACTTACCAGATATGTGACACTTCTGACATCCATAATTTCATTCATAAGCAGATCATTTAATCGACCAGGAGTTGCTAGTTAATAAAGAAATATGATGATTTCATGCTAATTTAAATATCAAACAGTTACACGTGTTTAATTACAAGACTGTAGGTACAGCTAGGCCCAGAGGTAACATTCTACAACCCTTAATGAAAGTAGCTACATGAAGAATTGGATAATGATACTTCAAAACATAACGTTAAAGTGGGGTTTCGGAAGCACGAGGCAACCACAAGCACTGTTACTTCTGAATGGATTGCGAATTCAACTCAGGATACCTGTGTTCTCGATGCCTGAACAGTTGAATAAGCAGGAATAAGTCGTCAAATAAAATAATTTATTTCGAGGTAAAAACATAAGAAAACCAAGATGGCCGCTACAGGAAAAAAAGAGTACCAAAGCCTGCGGTCTTCAGCGGCAAAACCACAAAAGGGCGGGAAAGTGAGTGATATTTGAGCAAATCCTTCTTTAACAACCTGTATGCATTTCACCAAGCTTCCTTATACTTTGCCTATTTCGATTTACACTGCTTGGCGGAGAGAGGCATGGTGAGAGTAAAGTACCTTGACAGACCAGAACACATTGGCCCAGTCACGGCTCACACATACCATATTTTCCAAGGAAAAAAAGACTTAATGCCACTGGAAATCAGACAACGCAACGTATCATGCACTGATCGAATCGTTTTATTTGACGTTGATATTGTGGTAAAAAACAAATCGACAGTGGTTGGTGCGTTCTGTACTCCTATCGAAAAAGATATTCGCCATTAGAGTTTCTGCAATAAACTTTGACCACTATGATGACGAATATCGTTGTGGATAAGAGTACAGACCACGCCAAACCACTGCAAATTGTTTTTTACCACAATATCAACGTCAAATAAAACGATTCTATCAGTGCATGATACGTTGCGTTGTCTGTACTCCGACAATGCCTATCAGATCGAGACATTACTGCCAATAGGCCATTTTACAGTTGTGTACTTAGTTGCCAAGCCTTTGATTCAGAGTGAGGCTGAAGGTGACCTTGTTGCGATAGAGACCTGTATCTACTTAGCATGATAACAAAGTGATTTACATTTGAAAGGCAGCAAGGTTTGTATCATAACAAGGTCACCCCTAGCCTCACTCCCATTCAAAGGCTTGGCAACCAAGCACACAACTGTAAAATGGACTATTGTGGTAAAACAATGAATATGAGTACCTATGACAATCTCTACTCCTTTCTGGACCACTTGAATCTGTCCTTTTCTGCTTCCTCCTCCATAAACACAGACACTATCAAAAACAAATTAAGTTTGCATAACTCCAAAAAAAACAAAAACACATGCTCAGGACTGAAAATTGTGCAGGTAGAGCCACCTCTTCATTACACCTTCTCTGACTGTACAATGAAAACGGGATGTTGATCAGTTGTCATAGATGTAGTTTAAATAAGGAACAAGGAATTGATCCCTAGAGCTTCAGATTGCATGGTTCAGTACTCTACCAGTGAGTCACAGAGAAACTACAGGTGAGCTAAGCCCTATGCTAAGTCCATATTTGAAAAATGAATAAAGTGGGTAAGTTTCTAAAGAAACTGTGGTGCTGTGCCAGTGAGGAAGTATAACAAGATAATAATTTGGTTTTGTCAACTGGGTTGATAAATGTAAATTAGCCACCATAAAGATTTTCTAAGCTGACGTTTCGAGCGTTAGCCCTTCGTTAGAGCGAATGGAATGGGGCATAAGATAATTTGGTTTTCCAACTGAGTTGATAACGTTAGCTTAGAAACTGCGGTAGATCATTTGCATCGTCAACTCAGTTGATAAAACCAAATTATAATTATATTTGACAAGCTTCCTGAGTACAGCAAGACACGTATGTTGAACGAATGTAAGAAATTATTGTGATCTTCACTGCTTATTTAGAGTAAATGTGGCCAAATTTAACATTCCAAAGGAAAAAGATACAATTTCTTGAAACTTGAAAATTTAAAAAAAGTCTTCCAACCTTTTTATTCCTCTGTAATGAAATTTCTTGACTTCTGCTTCAATTTGCAAAGCAAGTTCACGAGTGGGTGACAGAACTAAGACAGTTGGACCACCTCTTTTATTACGAGGCCTGAAATAAACAAACAAATACGATAATTTCCTTGCAAAAGTGACAAATACTAAGTACAAAGGTAGGTTGAAGTAATCTGTATCATATAAGCTACTAATTTGGATCTAAAAATTGATCAGTCAGTTATGCAAGACAAACGTAAAAGCAGGGCTCAAGTAACATACAGTAAATTCCGCTTATATTTATGAATCTGTTTATTTACGTTTCTTGTCCATCAATATGAAGAAAAGCAGGGAGCAGAAAGGCCAATGTCTTTCCTGTACCTGTCTATTGATGAAAAGAAAGGCAAACAGATGTATAAACAGTTGTGCAACAGAAGAAACAAACAAACAAACAAACAAACAAACAAACAAAGAACCAAAAAATAAGTTTGCTGTTCAGATTCACTTCCATGTTGTTTTGTGTCTTTAAAAGAAGTCTTCCCAGCCTATGAGAAAACTCCAGAATGACTCCATGAATATGATTCCAAAGCTCTTGCATGTGCCACACAAATGTTGCCAACAATAGACAACAATGCTGTCCAGGATGGGAACCATGGAACCTATTACAAGATCTAGCTGCAATCTCTAATGGGCCAAGACTTTAACCAATAGAGATTTGACTTTTGGCTCACCTGAGCAATCCCTATCAAGTCCATCCCTGACATGATTACTGGCCAGGACTGGCACTGGTCAAAATGAAAAAAAAAAAAATCCAACTCCACATTTACATACATGTTTCAACAAAATAAAGTAAAAATGGGTAGTTTTGAAGAGGAGGTGGTTGGTTTCAATGGCACACAGAGCCTTCTTTTTGCAAATGACATGTGGGCTCCCTTGAAAATTTTGAAGTTCTAGACTCTAACAGTTGCATTTCCAGCATTTCCAGATCTACTCCAATGAATGTTGCTTTATTATTCCTCGCAGTCAACAAGTTTTTAGTTAAAGTGACGATAAGGAAAACATTGTGCTTGTATCAAATCCCCAGGATCATTAAAAAAGTAGACCTGTACATAGATACACCTTCTAGGTTTAAAATGTCTTCTTATCTTTTTCTGAGTGACTCTGTTACTGTGTAAATAACGACTCCTTGTCCTAAGATATTAGATGATTTACGTTATTCAGGTACTTGTCTTGCCCCACCACGATTAGCTTTCTAGCTATTTGCAGGGGAAACTATCCCACTGTTATTTTATGTAAAAAATCAAAGGATAAATTGTTGTTGTTGTTGTTGTTGTAAAACTACAAGCAGGTGATCAGCTAATCAAAAGCCATTAGATCTAGCCAGCTGCACTAAAATCACTGAACTTTCTTTAAAAAGGGGCATCATTGATTTCTTGCAAAAAATGGAACAATAAAGATATGGATCACAGTGTAGGCTTTTTACAAATGACCTTCTATAAACCGATCCTCTACACATACCCAACGTTTGGGTACTTGCATGTTCTACAAATTTAAGTAAAAAAATTAAGATCACATTTCCTCATGCTAATGATAAATTTAGACAAGACACTTGTGTAAGTCACAGCTTATAATCACATACATGCTTATCACATGGACACATGACCTGAGAAATGTAAATGCTGAAACAATAAAATACCTGAATAGGTGATGGTCTAACAAATCCTGCTTTCTTCATTTCTTCCATGATTTCAGCTGTAACACAAACAAAATCAAATCAAAAACACCTTTACTTTGGTATAGGGGGAATGTATCAAAAGTCAATTTGCTTTTTCCTAAAAAAATCAATGAGATTTTAATTTGCTTCAGGGGTATTACGTTCTTTAGCAGGCTTGTACAATTTACAAGTTCTCAAAGTGGAGTAATACAAAATATACACATTGATTTCTGAATTTTGTCACATCTCTACACAAGCAATCCCAACAAAAATGAATCAAAACAATAAAAGAAAATCAAAATCTACATGTAAGTGTACTTCAGCTTTCTAGACATTCTTTGTATCTTTGTAGATTTTTTTAAAATTCAATTCATAATTTTTGAAACAATAGTGAAGCTGAATTAACCTTTAAACCTTCCTCACTAAGCATAAAAATCCTCAAATTGTCAAATTTGAAAACAGGGATACAATCAGATAACTTACGATAATCAGCATAAGCTTCTGCGAATGTTGTAACAGGGTTTGGAAGACTTCGGTCTTGAACAGATTCTCCATAATTTTCTACCATTATTTTATTATTATCCAATCTAAAATGTGAGGAAAGAATAATAATTTGTTTAATAATATAATTCTTACCAACAATTTAGGACCAAGCAAGGATTGAAGCCAGTTTTATAACCTCGATACATTCTCACCTAAATTTCTCCACTTCTTCATCAGCCATGTTTGTAACTGATGGTTGCTCTCTATAGAAAACTTTCTTGATGGGTGGTAAATCTAAATGTCAAACAATGCAACGATATAAAATTTAAAATTAATGAGGATATTAAACTGATGATGTAAGGGCATGGAAATAAACCTAACCATTCACCAAGGTGCAGTGTATGTTACATCATATGCGAATTGCACTTGATAAATATATAATTCAGAGAAACAGAAAGTTTACCTTAGAAATGATACCAGAAACTGCTAAACTAATGCCCTTTATTTTCCTTCTTAATCCTGTATTCTTTAGCATCCCGAAATTGATAACTTATGATATATACGTTTTGTGCAAATAAGATTTCTCCAATGACAATGATCATAAGACCCTCATCTGATATAAGTTATCATTTCTCTCAATTAGCTAGTGCACTTTGATTGGTCAATTTAGCGGGTTGTATTTCACTGTTCAGACAGCTAAATTCAAAACTTTGTTTGAACTCAAATCTTCCACCTCTATTCGAACCCAGGGATAAAATAAATATCTCATCAACCTCATTTTCTCAGTCCTTATTGTAAGTTACAGATTGAAGCAAGTTTTCTAGGTTTGGGTCTTAAATCTGAGCAGAAAAAAACAAGGTCTCTAACTTACATTATTACACGACTCGGGCAGTCAGAGGGACAATAACTAAAATCAACCAATCAAAATGCTCTATTGCTGGTCAATATTCTCTAAGTATTGAACCGGGCACTGTCCCGAATGGTCCCGAATGACACCGCTCTTGTGTCCCTTTGAACTTCAGTCGTATAATAAATCTCTTATTAACCAAGCTTGCTTGGGACCGTACTGGAAGAATATCGGCCCTCGGTCTTTTTTGTACAGACCTCACTGCGCTTGGTCTGTACTGTCAAGACCTCTGGCCGATATTCTCCCAGTATGGCCCTCGCGCTTGGTTAATAAGATATATGTATGGACCTTGAACTCAGGTAGTAAGAGGTACCAGTAGTACATAAAATAATGATTAGTACAATACATGTCCTGAAGGCAGCAAGGATTAGCTTTAACAAAGTTAGATTTGGTTCAATACCTGCCCATTTTGCAGCTTCCATTTCTTCCTGTTCTGAACGAAGCTTCGCCCAAGGAATACGGTTGGGCTGAACTGGTTGGGAACTGAAAATAGAGATGTGAGGCAATTTTCAAGGATTAAAAAGCTTTCTGCTTCATCCTTAATCTATGAACCTCAGAGTGCTTTTTAGGGGCAACCAGTATACAAAAAAGGTAATACAAGAGTTTCAAGGGTGAACCAAAAATACATTGAATCATCTTCTTGCTGTGATAAAGCTTTTTATAGGCAAAACAAACCTTTCATCTGGAGTACCATTTTGAATTGATAGACCTGAAAAATCAAAAAAAGATAAAACAACCTATTACTGACAGTAATTTGAAAAGGTAAAAAGATACATACTGGAAACCAGAGGCCTATTCAACTGGATCTTGTCCCAGTTTCTGCAGGATGAAGTGACAAGGACCATGACTACTCCCCCTTGATGTGCTGCCAGTCCAGTCCATCCCATGTTACGAACCCTCCCTCCCCCACCCATCATTTTGTCAGGCTTTCCTGAAACTTTTGTAACCCTTTAAGTCCAAGAAGTAATTAACATATCGGTAAATTATCCAGCAAACAGGTAATAAGAATACTCCAACTTATCAGGTAGAAGTTGTTATCTTGATCAACAGTGTAATACCAAATTCTCATAACTGTTGTCTTTTACAAGGAAATGTGTACCAGTTAGAGGAGTAACCTATTAATCAGATCTTGGGCTAACCCAAGCCAGTGATGCCTTTCTTCATGAACGAGTGATTGAACATACAAACAACATACACATTATCTCTTGAACTGCAGTAACCAATGATCCAATTTTTAATAAGTTTAATTATCAGGGTTCTTGCACTTTTTCAGGAACCCAATTCAAGGACTTATAAGGACTTTTTAGGTCATTTTGAAGGACCATGGCTCTCAAATTCAAGGTCCTTTTGTATTACTGCAATTTTTGGCCGTTTACCCACACGGCCCATTACCTACACCAGTCGATTATTGCATACGGCAAAAAAAAAAAAGTTAACAGATAACCTGCACTGGTGGATAACCCGCACCTTAAAAGCAAAGAAAATTTGTACAAAAAGGTTCTAGAATTCACAACGTTTCATACTCAACAGAATGCGAATTCGTAGCCACATTTTGTGCAAGCGATCGTTCAATGCCATGTTAAATTGTTGATTCCTTTATTCTTTATTCCTTTATTCTAATTCTAATGGCCTTAAACTTAACTTAACATAATCAACCACTACCCACAAATAGCAGAGCTAGTCTCGGCGGGCAGTGTGTGGACGCTAAAACATCTTGCATAGATTTCGGTTCAACAAAAGATTGAATAAATATACAAGAAACAGAAATTAAATATTAAATCATTAATTTAAAAGCAGAAGTGACAGTATAAGATAAAAATACAGAAATAGAAACACACCATAATAAATAGAAGAATACATAAGTTATGCACTACTATTAACTGGATTTAACTTTTGACACATCATTGATTATTCATTCTACGTCAACATAACTATCTTGAACTTGAAGATTTTGAAATAATATTGTTGTTGGCTTTTTCTTGAAAATATCTTTTGGAAGATTCCTTAAGTTTCCTGGGATGCTATTCCAAATTTTACAACCAATCCTTGAGAATGAGTTTTTATGTTGATTTAGCCTTGAATAGTTTATGTAATAGTTACC